AAAAGGGTGAGCAGAGTTCACCGATCCATTGACGGGACAAAAGAGTGAAGGAGAATGAGGGAGGAAACATGCAAACAAAATGGAGATTAGCAGAGTTTTATTCTTTTCTTGCTTTCTTCAGATGACTCTAATATATTCCATCAAAATCTCAATACATTCAAATTATGAAACATAAGAATTTGTCACTATCCCCATCTGAAACGTACTTATGGAAATAGAACTGCCCCCCTTAAATCTGCACAACCCCAGCTCCTGGTATGAGTGACTCACCTGCTGAAAGAAATTCTTAGTCACCTGGGCTTTTATCTTCCTTTCCTGTTTCTCCATTTTTGTATTTCTGCATGTTAGGGCTTCTCTATCTGCAATCTTCAGTCCGTCCCAAATTCCTCCCACAGACCACTTCCCAATGCTCTCAAACATTTTGGTCAGGTGCAGTGACAGCAATAACTCCAGCTCTCTGCTTCCAAAATCTGTTTTAGTCTCTTCCTCATTGCTGAGACAAAATACGGAATACCTGTGATTTAAAGGACGAGAGGTTTACTCTGTCTCATGGTTTTAGTTACAGGTCGGCAGGCTCTGAGGCAGAAAGGCAGCACGGAAGGGCATGTCAGAAGAAAGCTGGTCAGCCACAGCAGCGAGGAAGCAAAGAGAGAAGCGGGAATCAGGGACAAGGACACAGACTCTCAGGTTAAGTCCCCAGGACCCCACCTCCAGCCAGGCCCCACCCGCTAACAGCACATTTAGGTACCAAACTTATCTGGGGATGAATCTCCTGATGAACACAGGGCCCTATGATGATTTCTGGGCTCCAGGAGGATCAAAGTGCTCTCACAGAATCTTAGAGTCTCTTGAGGCTAAGACCAGGAACTTCTGTGAGTGCTTCATATTTGTCAGAAGAAGGGAGGGGAGTACTCAAGAAGGGCAGAATCACTCAAGGAGTTCTCCAAGTAAGGTATTAAAATTATTCACCCAGGAATGAGATCCCTGAGGCTATAGTCTTTATATAGTCGAGATGGGACCCAGGTGTCCTCCGCTGTGATCTTGTTTTATCGTTTCTGTCTTTCTGGCTTCATTTGCCATTACCAGTTGTAGTAGGGATTAGTGACTCACAGAGGTTCACTTACTGTGAGTCCACCACCCATCTTCAGACAAGGAGCCTAGGCCTTGGACAGACTCACAAGTAAACATGAAAAGTCCATTGGTTAATGTAAATCCTGCTCAGGGCTGCTTTAGAGTGGTCTCCATGAACTCAGAACTGTGCT